AAAGGTAGAGATGATTTTAAAAAGATCTTAGAATAACTGAATGTAGATCAGCAGTGTGATGTGGTTGTAAAAAGACAAAGTAATTTTAGGCTGTATGCAAGAATCGCTTCAAAATTGTGGAAGGTAATAATTCATTATATTTGTATTGGGCAGCTGATGCCGCCTTAAACACAGTGTTAGTTCAGGGCACCGTATTTTAAGTCAGACGCAAAGAAACCAAGAATGGAAAGAAGGGCAGTGAGGATGACCAGAGAACAGTAAATCAAGTATACAAGGACAGACTAAGGGAACTGAATATCTTCAGCTTTGAGAAAGAGTTATTGAAATGGCAAATAACAGCACTTTTTACATACTTGGTGTGTCACTCAGAAGAAAATCAAAACCTGACCCCTTTTATCACAGAGTTCAAGGCAGGTCTTATGTTACCTGAAAGCGGAATCTGGTTGATGTTAGGGAAAACTTATTTAATGGTGCGAATAGTCCAATAGCAGAACCAATCTCCAAAAGAGATGGCGAGATGACTTGTTCAAATAGCTGATAGGAGCTCGGAATGCTTTGTTTTGAATTCCTGTACCAAGCAGGAAGTTGGAATTGATGGCTTTAAGTAGTCTCTTCCAACTCTAAGATTTCATGAGAAAGTTTAAGACAAAGGAAATGTCAAATCTTCCCTTTCGAAAACTTAGCATACTATAGGATTGTGCTCAGTAGTGGGTTCCACTTCCGAACCGGAGTTCAGAACTGTGAGCCTCGCTCGTGCGCGGCACTTCTGCGCATGTGCAGAATCTTCTGCACATGTGCAGAGCGTCTGTGATGATGTCCGGGCCTCTCGCCACCGCCACTACCGGTTTGCCCGAACCGGGGCAAACTGGTAGAAATCTACCACTGATTGTGCTCCAGTCCTAGTTTAGATTTATGATTTTTATACTGCAATCATTTCTATCTAATAGAAGTTGCATTCAGATACAAAATTATGACGCATGTGGTAAAGCCAAATATTAATAGTATTTAAAATTAATTCTTAATATTAAAAATAAGGCTTTGCTGAATAAGTTCACCCCTACACCCAAGTTACAAAGATTGTATAGACTAATTTTGTTAAGGAGTTGTGTTGCTAAATTTCTTGAAGTTGGAAACTCCAAGATACAATGCAAATGATGATAAAGATCCTACTATATTAAAATCATTTTAATGATCAAAGGAGCCTCAAGGTCAGCCGTATTCACCAGGGTTGTCAAAAAAAAAAAAAAATCTAAGATGGCAGTTGTAGTAATACAATGAAAGCCCCACACCTTTTGGATAATATGAACCTACAAACGTGTGGAGTCTCCATTATCCAAGGTTGATTTTCATTGCAATTCTTTCCCAATGTATCTTAGATAAACCTTATTGTGCTGATTTATCTGCCATCAGACCATGCGCCTCGGCAGAAGACTCTGGAGCATTTTATAGGAGAAGAATGGACACTTAAGTTACCACATTACTTCAAATCTCTTGGATGTTACAGGAGAAGATGAAAGTAATATACCTCTTCGTGGGAATCATGTCTGCCAAATGTTTCCTTGAAGACTATTTCCTAAGCTTCCAAAGAATCTCAGAATTGTTCCCTGCATATCTTAAAATTGCTGCATGGAACAATTCTTTTCCACCTACAAAAAACATTGTACAAGCCATGAAATTAATATTTAAATCTCCTTAGAAACACTCTCAAATTGACCTAAATGTTCTTTTCCTTTAAAAAAAAATGCTGAATGCTAGGATGACTGGAATATTCTAAATCATGGGTCTCCAACCTTGGCAATTTTAAGCCTGACAGACTTCAGCTCCCCAGCTGGCTGGGGAATTCTGGGAGTTGAAGTCCGCCAGGCTTAAAGTTGGTAAGGTTGGAGACCCCTGTTCTAAATGACAACAACAACAACAAAAAGAATCATTTGCTCATATTTGCTTTGGTGAGATATATATATAACTACCTAGAGCTATTGTCTTGGCACCAAAGGGAGATGAGATGCAATAAATCCAACAGGTTGTCCATCACTTAGGTTTCCAAATGAAAAAGAAATGAAAATAGATGTTGAATTTTTTTTTAAAAAAATCATTCTTATGGCTAAGAAAAGAATACAGAAGGAAACCCGGAAAGGGTGCAACCTGGCCTCGGATATCTTCTCCAGCAGGAGACAATAAAAAGGCCAGAGCAAAAGTTCAGGCATTTCAGATTCCCAGAAGCCTTGAGCTTTCCCTTCCTCAAATGCTGTTTCCTTCAAGGGCTCCATAACAGAATTGTCGGAACTGCCAAAACTGCAGAGAAAGTCTGTTTCTGCCATGCTGAGCATGCTGCTTTGCTGAAGCCAAGAAAAAAAAAAGGAAAAAAAAAGAAAAGCTAGTAACACTGACTAGATGAAAACCTCTGGGTCTGCAAGTGTTCACCTCACTTTGCTTCCAAGAAAATCGTCTGGAAACTATTTGCCGTTGTGCATCTGTCCAAATTGTGCTATTATTCCAGCTTCCTTGCTTTTCTTTGCTATCAAGAGCCTCCTTAATGTTTATCACCAGCCTGCCATTAAACTAAATAATTTTTTACAATCGATTCTCAGATCGAACAAAGAACATTTCCCTCTGTCCTTCCTAGTACTGTTAATTGTTACAGACACAAGACAGGACTTTTTCAGTCACAGCCCTCAACTATTTAGTAGTCCTGTATAGTGGTGGGTTTCTACTGGTTCTGCCTGGTTCGGGCGAACCGGTAGTGGCAGTGGTGGGAGGCTCCACCCACCCACCCGGACGTCATCACGAATGTTCTGCGCGCGAGCGCTCACATTTGCGAACCAGTAGCAAAGGTAAGTGAATCTCACTACTACTCCTGTAGACTTGTCCTAGTAAAACTTAGTCCTAGTATGTGTCTCAAATTCAGATTAAGTGGTTTTATCATTATATGCAACAGGGTGACCAAGAATGGATTAGAAACAGCAGGCCCAAAGTAACCAAATAGCAATAGCACTTAGACTTATATACCGCTTCACAGTGCCTTACAGCCCTCTCTAAGCGGTTACAGAGTCAGCATATTGCCCCCAACAATTTGGGTCCTCATTTTACCCACCTTGGAAGGATGGAAGGCTGAGTCAACCTTGAGCCAGTGAGTCTCGAACTGCCAAAATGCTGGCAGCCGGCAGTCAGCAGAGGTAGCCTGCAGTACTGCACTCTAACCACTGCACCACCGCAGCTCAAGTAAGTGTTGGGAAGAATATGAAGGCAGAATAACAGAGTTGGAAGGGACCTTGGAGGTCTTCTAGTCGAACCCCCTGCTCAAGCAGGAGACCCTCATTTCAGGCAAGTGGTTGTCCAGTCTCTTCTTAAAAGCCTCCAGTGATGGAGCGCCCACAATTTCTGAAGGCAAGCTGTTCCACTGATTAATTTTTCTGACTGATAGGAAATTTCTCCTTAGTTCTTAGGTTGGATCTCTCCTAGATTGGTTTTCATCTATTGTTTCTTGTCTTGCCTTCTGCTGCTTTGGAAAATAAGTTGACCCCCCCTCTTCTTTGTGGCAGCCCCTCAAATATTGGAACCCACCTATCATACCACCCATGGTCCTTCTTTTCACAAGACTAGCCAGACCCAATTCCTGCAACAGTTCTTCATATGTTTTAGCCTCCAGCCCCTTAATCATCTTTGTTGCTCTTCTCTGCACTCCTTCCAGAGTCTCAACATCTTTTTTATATTGCGGTGACCAAAACTGGATGCAGTATTCCATGTGTGGTCTTACCAGAGCCTTATAAAACAATAATAACACTTCACGTGATCTTGATTCTATCCTTCTGTTAATGCGACCTAGGATTACATCTAGCTTTTTTAGTGGCTGCAGCACACTCATATTTAAGTGACTGTCCATTAGGAGTCCAAGATCCCTCTCACAGTTACTCCTATTAAGCCATGTTTCACCTAATTGCTACCAGTATATTTTTGTTTTTTCTTGCCTGAATGTAAAACCTTACTTTTCTCTACATTAAATGGACAAGTGGAAAGGATGTTGGCAGATGTAGCCCACATCCTTTCTACTTGTCCCAAACCTCCTACTGTGAAATGGATTTTGTCTGTACCTCTAAATGTGTACAGAATTACCTTCTGCATGCGTGTGCAATTTTCTCCTGTGATTGAGTCTGAATTCTCTATGAACAGTTGGCTGGTTTTCCTTATATTTATGCTTTGCTGAAATGCTGAGATTGTATAATCTGGTGTTGGTTTCTCTGTTTAGATCTAGGAATATTTTCTTCCTTTGTAAACACAGGAGAGAAAAATGCTGATAAAATCGCTTTGAGATTTTTGTGCTGAGGCGGCGCACTTTCTAACCAATATATTCTGCAATTTCAGCGTAAAAAATAAACTTAGCCACTGGCAGAAACCACATCATAATACAGCCGTTTGAGAACAGATGCCAGTTGGATTTTAGGATTCCCTAGCCCTTTTCTGTGATTCATCCCACACCCTGTAAAGCAGTGTTTTTCAACCTTGACAACTTTAAGATGTGTGGACTTCAACTCCCAGTATTGGCTGGCTGGGGAATACTGGAAAATGAAGTCCACACATCTTAAAGTTGCCATGGTTAAGAAACACTGCTTTAAACCAGGGTTTAAAGCAACCTTAAACACTCAAAGAGCCATTTGGACCCGTTTCCCACAGAAAAGAAAACATCGGGAGCCACAAAAACCCTTCCCGTGCCTGACTATTTCTTGAGCGGCCACAAAACTAGCATATGTAGTTGAATTAAAAATTCTATTTTCTTCTGAAACTTTTCTTTTCTTGGATTTATCCATGGTTGACCTATCGGGGTTTGAAAAGCTCAATAAATCGTGTGCCGGCAGGTGTCGCACATTGGTGGTTGTGACGCATATTTTGAGTGACAGGGAGCCGCAGCAGAGGGGTAGAAGAGCCACATGCGGCTCCAGAGCTGCAGGTTGCTGACCCCTGCTTTAAACATTAAGAGGTAATAATCAGAAGACATAGAAACTTACTGGAGGTCCACGGGGACCAATGATGGACATGCCAGCCTCTCCTGGAGCTCCCTGCAGGGATAAAGAGAGAGAGTGTATATGTAGAAAAGAAGACCAAAACCAATTTTTTTTAAAGAAAAAAGCAGGTTAGAGATTAATATTAAAAAAAGAGGCAGAAAAAACAAAGAGACAATGATGAAGTAAGCAATAACGCCAAAGTGAGTATTTAGAGTGAAAAATTGAAAGGAACGAGAGGAGAGGGCTGAAAGGAACTTGTGGCCAAAGAAATAATAAGAGGAAATGAAACATTTATATAAAGGGGGATTAAAAAGAACAATAGACACACATATTTTTCATTGTGATTAAAAGCAGGTTTTAACTGCAGGTCCCCTGGGCCTTTTCTAATCAAGACAGGGAGCCATTTTGGATTTATCCTGAAATTGGATCAAAACATGACTTTGAATTCCTTGGGAATGAAAAGTAATCTCACCTCATGGCCATAAAAACTATTATTGGATGCCAAATTTATCTCAGGTCCAATGATCATTCTTCTCCATTGCAAAGTGGCCTTGTTTAATCTGGGGTTTAAGAGTAATTAAGGAGCAAGCTACCTTTAAAGGGCTGTGGAATTTGTGTTGTCAAGCAGTATATGTCTATGGGTGCATGGACTCAAAACATTTTATTGGTCTGAGAACACAGCACTTTACACTGTCTGATTTTGACTGCATAAATCATCTTTTAGCAATGCTATAGACTTTTGATTCCAATAATGGAATGACGCCTTTAAAAATTGTTATTTCTGTAGGGTGTGAAATGCAGCAGCCTTGTATCTGCTAGACTGTATCTCTAGGGGAAGAACCAAAATACCCATTGTCAGGGGTGGGCTTCAGAAATTTTAGCAAGGGGTTCTCTGTCCATTGCTGGGTGGGCGTGGCCATAGTGGGTGTGGCCTAGTCAGCCTCCTGCACCATGGTGGTGGTGGCGGGTGTTTTTGCCCTCCCCGGGCTCCAGAGTCTTTCCTTGAGCCTCCAGGAGGGTGAAAACGGCCTCCCCAGGCTCCGGAGGCCCTCTGGAGGCCTGAAACATGCCCGTTTCCAGCCTTCCCAATCTTCCAGTAAACCCATTTTTTGCCCTCCCTGAGCCTCTGTGCACGCCCTGCACTTACCTGCCTCAAAAACGGGTTGCATGGGGACTCCTGGGAGGGGCAGGGCAGGATGGGTGAGGCCAGCAAGGAGTGGGATTTGGGGGTTCTCCAAACTGCACAGAACGTTAGCTAGAGGTTCTCCCGAATCTCTGTGAGCCCCCAGCAGCTCACCCCTGCCCATAGTACTTTTAAAGCTCACTTTGGTATTTGCTTTTCATGCTGCGGGCCGCCCACAAGCATTCTAAATTTCTTTCAGATTAAGGTCTATCGATCATTATCTTTACATCTGCTCGTATCTACCTAGGATCTTTAACCCTTACCCATTTCTCTGGTGACAAGGGCTTACTTGAATATTTTTAATGCAGAATCAAAGGGCCACAACTGTTCACTATCGATTGTGAAATCAAAGTTACAGGAGACAAAAGGGTATTGTTGTGGCCTGTCGGCTACCGGCCCCTTCAACAGCCGAATCAGAGGAGGAGGAGGCGTGGGAGTCAAGGCAACCTGAGAGCTCCAAGGGGGAAGTGGGAATGGAACTGGCAGAGAGAGAGAGAGAGAGAGACAGAGGCGGAGCCTATGCCGTCCATCAGCCCTCAGATGGAGAGTCAACAGCCCCCAGGTCTGGAGGTGGCTGATGAGGAAGAGGAGGAACAGCTGGGTCCAGTGCCTGACATGCGGATGCACAGAAGGCAGAGGAGAGGAGAGCAGTGGAAATCTGTGGGCTGGTCCTTGGGAAGGAAGAGCCACCACTGCTAGTGAAGCCCCTAGGTCTGGGGATAAAAGGCAGGGGGTGGAGATGAATAGATGTGACAGGCAACTATTCATCTTCCGGCTGGCCGGACTTGTTAGCCTGGTTGTGAGAGAAACTTTCTGCTGGGGCTCCTAATAAAGGAATCTTTGACTTAACTTTAGAGGGTTTGTCATGTTTGGAGAGCTGGGTCAGAGCAGGTATGCATTTGCAGTGAGATTAGGGTGAGAGTATACATACTCTCACCCTAACAAATAGCTCTCTGTGCTAGCAGCTCAAATACATTGTGCAACTACGCTGCCTTTTCTCTCTGTTAACAGAACTGATTATTGTAGGAAAGAAATGATGGGAGAAAGGAAAACGCAAGAGGACTAACACGGAACTTTCCATATTGTGAACCCTCACCCCATATCCCCATTCCACTAATATAAATTCACAAGTGAGGTTGTGCCTTTTTATCGGAAATGCTTCACATGGAAGTGCTCTATAGCAGGGATCTCCAACCTTGGCAATTTTATGACTATGCAGGCTGGGGAATTCTGGGAGTTGAAGTCCACAAGTCGTAAAGTTGCCAAGGTTGGAGACCCTTGCTGTATAGCACGGGTGTCAAACTTAAGGTGTCATGTTGCCATCACGTGACATATTGTGATGTTTTTTTCCCTTCGCGGAGCTGATGTGGCCTGCGGGTGACACATCTGGCCCACGGGCTGCCAGTTTAACATCCCTGCATAGATTTTTGTAGACACAGATATTTGGAAAGGAACAAAATAACATGGTTCTAGTTTGGAAAAAAAGTTAGACAGCACTTGTGTTTTTCTAACTAAATGGACATTTGCTGACCATTTTGGAAAAAAAGCTTCATTTCAGGGTATTTTTATTTCAGGTGGTGGACTTTACAGGCTGCATTTTGTTCAAATACTAGGGGAGTGCCCCAGTGGTGGGTTGTCCCCGGTTCAGACCGGTTCGCAAGAACTGGTAGTAAAACTGGCGGGAGATCCCGCCCACTGCCCTGGATGTCGTCATTGGTGATATGCGCATACGCAGAAGCAAGGCGCGTGATCCCATTGCGAACCAATGGGATCGCAATAAAGGCAGGGGTGGGTTCTACTTACCTTTACTACTGGTTCGCAACGGGATCGCGCGCCTTGCTTCTTTGCATGCACAGATTGCCAATGACGACATCCGGGGTAGAGGGTGGGGCCTCCCGCCGGTTTTACTACCGGTTCTTGCAAACCGGTCTGAACCGGGGGCAACCCACCACTGAGTAAAGGTAAGTAGAACCCACCCCTGGAGTGCCCCAAACCAGAAGAAGACAGGTTTATGTTAACTAACTGGCGAAATGAAAGAGATCAAGCAATTTAACGGATTATGTAAAAAGGCAACCTATTTCAAGTCCAATGGGGGAATAAATTTCATATTGTGCTTGGTATGATCTGAAAAGCCATCAAGTCCCCTATGTCCAACCACTGCTTTGTTCTTACTCCTCATGGAAGGAAAGACACTTTTGCTATTCATTGCAAAATGTTTTAACTCTGATAGGGAAGGCGCAGATATGCAGTTTATTCTTGGTAGTTGTGAAAGAAACGCAGCTGTGGACCGAAAAGAATATTTAAGGTCCTCTCTCATTTGCTTTCCTCAGTTAGTCGATGAGGCTTTCCTCACAGACGAAATATAAAGTTTGCATCTGGGATTCTGTGAATCTTACTCAACCAATTGTGCCGAGGTGAGGCTGTCTAGGATGCAGCTGGTAGAGTTAACTACATCTCCATGTGTCATTTTCCTGGACTCTCTAAGCACAGCTGTTAGCCATGAAACTGAAAACAGTTCCAGAAAGTATCCATAAGACCAGCTGCAAAAGGTGGGTTTACCTGATCATCAGTGCAAAGAAGATTTGGCAATGTTAGTATAAATTATAGTAAACAAATCAAAATTTCTGAAGCTTTAGATCATCTCTGGGCTTTTTCAACACAATATTTTTTTTAAAAAAAAAAACTTGTCAAACTATTTGTTTTTTATTTGCATGTATTAATTTGTGTAAAATAATTTGGCCTTTGTGGTTAATAACGGCCTTTGATAAAAGAGCAAAGTCTTTTAGGGGCAAATCCATATTGTTTATATCGCAATATTATGGAAATTGCAACTTCATTCTGGAAAGTCTTTCTAACTAGCCTACAGCCCAAGGAAGTTTACAGGGTATAATAATAATATTTTTAAAAATCAAGATTGTGACCATGATGGTGTGATTTGAAGCTCCACCTTTTTTTTTACTAATGGTCTCCCATTCATGTATTAAACTGGTCTGATCATGCTCAGTGTTACATATGTAAATAGGGAGTGAAGCCTGGAGCAAAGGCTTCACTCAGGTCCGGTGTGGGAAGAGACATTTGCATACCCGGCGCTCATTGGTCCATTCAAGCATTGGGAAAATAAAGCAATGTCAGTGGCCGGCCCGGTCCCTTTAAAATAGAGGTCTTCAAACTTGGCAGCTTTAAGACTTGTGGACTTCAACTCCCAGAATTCTCCAGTCTGGAGAATTCTGGGAGTTGAAGTCCACAAGTCTTAAAGCTGCCAAGTTTGGGGACCCCTGCTTTAAAAGAAGGAGCTGTCGAACAGCAAACACAGAAGTTTTTCCAAGCCTCAGAATAAAGAGCTGAAATCACTAGTTGGACTCCTGCCTCTTCATTCGAAGGGGACGCAGTGGCTCAGTGGCTAAGACACTGAGCTTGTCGATCGAAAGGTCGGCGGTTCGAATCCCTAGTGCCGCGTAACGGGGTGAGCTCCCATTACTTGTCCCAGCTTCTGCCAACCTAGCAGTTCGAAAGCACGCAAAAAATGCAAGTAGAAAAATAGGGACCACATTTGATGGGAAGGTAACAGCGTTCCATGCGCCTTTGGCGTTTAGTCATGCCGGCCATATGACCATGGAGACGTCTTCAGATAGCGCTGGCTCTTTGGCTTTGAAACGGAGATGAGCACTGCCCCCTAGAGTCAGGAATGACTAGAACATATGTGCGAGGGGAACCTTTACCTTTACCTCTTGATTCGACCCCCACTCAACACTTAGCTTATCAAGGTCAGGGACAGATAACTGCTTTCCTTTGTTTTGACCCTGACTGAACAGCAATAATTTCTTCCTTCCTTGCTTGTTTACAGTATTTGGTCTAGATTAGGATGGAAACCAGGGAAATCTCTGGTCACCTAAGGCAGGTCTACTTCTCAGGACAATCTCTTTCAGCTCCTGGTAGATGTCTCACCTGCTGCAATTTAATTCGTAATGGCAATCTGTCTAGTGTTGATGGTTCACGGCTATTGACAAATATGTTCATCAAGGAAAGGATGCTAAAAGCATAGCACAATGTTTCTCAGCCTCTGCTACTTTAAGACGGATGGACTTCAACTCCCAGAGTTCCCTAGCTGGCTGGGAATTCTGGGTAGTTGAAGTCCACCCGTCTTAAAGTGGCAGAGGTTGAGAAATACTGGAATAGAAGAAATGGCTAGATCAACCTGTCTGAAGTGGTTAACTGGAAAAAGCTGACTCACCTTCTCTCCAAGTTGACCCTTGACTCCCTGGGCCACCATTATATCAGTCGCAGCCACATGCAACAGGGTGAAGGGGGAGAGAAAGAGAGACACAAAACATAGGAGTCAGTGTTAAGGCACACTAAGCACAAATACACACTCATGCCAAAAAGACAAATGGAAAAGAAAAGACGAACACTGAAACATGCATGGTTTAATGTTCACATACAAGCATGGTGAAGTGTGACCCTGCTTTTGACTTTCTTGCACTTAAATCAGCTTCAAAAATTCTTTTTTAACATTCACTTTCACAGTTTTTATTAAGCAGTTATATAAGGGAAAAAGAAATCTAGTTTCTGAAATGTATGTTTTACATTAGAAGTGAGAACTAACATGATTGAATTTATATGTGTCTGCATCTGTTCTCTTAATGTTATTATTATGTCTGTTCCAGGGGTGGGTTCTAAAATTTTTTACTACCGGTTCTGTGGGCGTGGCTTATTTTGTGGGTGTGGCTTGATGGTCATGTGACAATTATTTAGGATTTAGTAGAGGTACTGGTCTACCGGGCTTTTAACTGCTTGCAGAGCTGTACCGATCTACCCATTTATTTTTTGCAGGCACTGGTCTACCCATTTATTTTTGCAGGCACTGGTCTACTCATGTATTTTTGCAGGCACTGGTCTACCCATTTATTTTTGCAGGCACTAGTCTACTCATGTATTTTTACAGGCACTGATCTACTCATTTGTTTTCTTTTACCACTGATCAGCTGTAGGGTGGCCCTTTGAAGCCCCACGGCAAGAGTTTAAACAGTTTTTTTCCCTCTAGCCATCAGCTGGGACTCAGGAGGCAGCAATAGATTGGGGGTGGGGCCAAATAAAAGGTAAGAGTAACGTGGGAGGTGGGGTGGGGGGTGCAGGGAGTGGGTGGGCACAGGGGGGGCAGAACCGGTTTGGTGACATCATATCATCACCGCTACCGGCTCGGGAGAACCGGGCTGAACCGGAAGGAACCCACCACTGGCCTGTTCACAACAGTGTGAAGTCACAACTGGCAGTTCTTTAGCTGGTATTGGCCTTCATACACATCAAGTCCTTCCGAGGAACAAGAAGCTAGTGTGTCAGCATAGTATATGTTTGGATCTAAGTCGTGTGGCCTTTTGCAATTGACATAGAAATGTTATTAATATTATTCTGTCAAAAACCTGAAATTGCATGTGATTCAGTGGTGGGTTTCAAATTTTTTTACTACCGGTTCTGTGGGTGTGGCTTGGTGGGCGTGGCAGGGGAAGGATACTGTAAAATCTCTATTCCCACCCCACTCCAGGGGAAGGTTACTGCAAAATTCCCATTTCCTCCCAATCAGCTGGGACTTGGGAGGCAGAGAATAGATGGGGGTGGGACCAGTCAGAATTTTTACTACCGGTTCTCCGAACTACTCAAAATTTCCACTACCGGTTCTCCAGAACTGGTCAGAACCTGCTGAAACCCATCTCTGATGTGACTGTACAACAAAAGAGAAATTGTGGAAGAAAAGCATGTTTCATGCTTAGGAATGCTTCTAAGGGATCATTTGTACACATAATTGTTGGCCTGTAGATTAAAGTGACAGAGTCCAGGGTCTGTTTTGTATCATGGTGTGCTAGGTGTCCACATAATATTATGAAGATGAAAGGATATAATACAACTGTTAGGAATAAACTAGGATGGCGAAACATATGGAGATGTTAGCAAGAGATTTATAGAGAGTTAGCTAGATTTATCTAAATCTCATTTTATAAGCCACTAATGCAAAAACTGGTAGAAATCTAACAACTATCACTGGTCCTTCTATTCTCAGGAACAAGTTGCTATTTTGAAGAGGGTGTTGCTTAATTAGGATGTTTCCAATTCTTGTTTGCTAAGACATTTTTTTTTGAGGAATGAAAAATAACGCCATTATTAATTTCCCCCTTAAGTGTGGGCATTTTAATGTCCAACAGGACAACACTGGATAAAAGTACTATAATGATAGAATTCCCAAGGAAAATGGTGACTTGGCACCCACTAGTGGTGTTAGTGGGACACCAGCCATTTCTGTTGGGTATTTATGTATCCATAGTAACCTCAAAGTAAATTGATGGTGAACAGGGAAGCAAAACTTGTGAAAAATCCAAGGCATTCAAATTGGGTTGGAACTGAATTTCTCAAGGAGAGAACTACCAAAAGATTCCTGCACATATTGCTCTATAATCTTAACAGCAAAGTTCATTTAGAAACTGCCTCCCCTCATATATATTTATCATATTTTAATGTTCTTAGTAAGTTTAGAATAATTTTTCAGGAAAGTTCCAATTAGGAACAACATCTCATGTTATTTGAAGTGGTTGTATGCTTTTGGGTATCTTTATTATCTTACATATCTAAAAACCATTTTTTCCTCTTCTGAGTAGAAACCATTTCCCTCAGTAGGGCCAGTTTTATATGAAACAGAATATTTAATTGCCCCAATAAAAGGGGATATGTCCGTGTGTGTTTATCTTTCCCCCACTCTCTTTAGCTTCTATACACATGTATCTGGTCTTCAGGAAATTGGAGAAAAGATTCAGGCCTACAATAATAAGGTACATTGCTTACTGCCCTGAAAGCTAGAAACCTTCATTAGAAGAAGTAGGATAAAAATAGATGGATAACAAAAATATCCATTTTCTTATTTCCCAGTACAGGTAGATGTGTGGTGGATCTCTATAAAATTTGTGTTCAGTGCATCTTGTGTTAAAATAGAGGTTCACCATTGTAAACATATTTTGGTTACAAAAAAATACTCTAGTGTATTCTTCCATTTTTAGTATACATTAGAATCAGGAAGATGGTTGACAGTTATGTTCATCAAGGAAAGCATGCTAAAAGCGTAGAACAATGTTTCTCAACCTCCGCCACTTTAAGACGGGTGGACTTCAACTCCCAGAGTTCCCCAGCCAACTGGCTGGGGAACTCTGGGAGTTGAAGTCCATCCGTCTTAAAGTGGCGGAGGTTGAGAAATACTGGAATAAAAGAAATGGCTAGAGAACAACTTTTCGAAGCTTCTTTTGGAGGTGATGTAGAGATAAAACAGATGTTAATTGTTTGTTAAAATGTTTGCCACTACAGTGTTCCTAATGGTTTTGTTCCATTGTAATAATGTGCTTTCTTAAGCAAAAATCATGCCTAAAGTGATTACTGAATTTATTCATTTGAATGCACTTTTTCTCAATTCTTGAAACAAAAGAAGAAGCTATAAAGCTCTGTCTAAAGCCTTCATTCATGTACCAAATCTGCTACCAAAATAAGACTTCTAAAGAAATAATAGCGTTGGAAAGACTTTCTGTGACCTCTGCTGATTCAATGTCCGTGTTATGCATTTAACAGAATAACAGAGTTGGAAGGGGCCTTGGAGGTCTTCTAGTCCAGCCCCTTGCTCAAGCAGGAAACCCTATACCATTTCAGACAAATGGTTGTCCAATCTCTTCTTAAAAACCTCCAGAATTTCAGACTAGTACTGTTCACGATCTATCTAGGAATCGTTGTATTTCTGAGTAACAGAAGGTTTTCAGTTGCAATAGTGCATATATTTGTCGTTAAGGTGAAATAAATATGAAAACAAATTAAGCCTAAAGCACTGTTAAGTAGCACCAGCTGCCTGCAATTACTGCAAGTTCAAATCTCACCAGGCTCAAGGTTGACTCAGCCTTCCATCCTTTCGAGGTAGGTAAAATGAGGACCCGGATTGTGGGGGCAATAAGCTGACTTCGTATAAAAAAGAACATCGCTTGGGGGCCCCCGAAAGCCCTACTAAGCAGGTATATACAAAAGTATGAAGGCGATTGCTTAACTCATTGTAAGCCGCCCTGAGTCTCTGGAAAAGGGCGGCATATAAATCGAACCAATAAATACAATATATAAATAAATAAGCCACCATGGTGTGAATATTTGAAGTCTTGGAGAAAGCTTATCGAACTAACTAGGGATTATTTCTGAGTAGACAGAACCAGTAACTGAAATTTTCTCTGTCACATGTATGTAGATCAGTTTAGTAGCAACAGATTTGGAAGCAGTGATGACAGATAAATGTAAGCGATTTAAGACTTACCGGCTGTCCACGGATTCCCATGGCTCCTTTGTCTCCCTAACAATTAACACAAAATCAAAGGATAATTGGCAATTTGACCACATGTAATGATAAAAAAAATGACACAAATTCATTCAAACACGAACATTTAGACAATTGCATTGATTACTTTGGATTTTATCCATAGGAGTATGTGTTTGGAAGACCACTGAACTGTTTATCAACTGCCATGGTCCAACACAGTAAATATATGTATATTTGTATAACTGAAAAACCATTTGTATAACAAGGCAAGTTTTTGCATCAGAGGTCTGTGATTTTTCAGTTTTCCTCTTTTTATTGTAATTTATTTATTATTTGTTTTAATTTTCTTGTAATAATTTGAACCATTATTGAATACATTAGACCAACATGTTTAATATTATTATTATTATTATTATTATTATTATTATTATTATTATTATCCAATAATAATATCCAATGTCTTTTCAATCATCTCATATTATTGCCTTCACAGGCCTGTAACACTGCAAGATGCTTATTCACCAAACATCTGGATAAAATCCCGTCCCACATTGTCTGCATATATTCGTAAGTCAGAGGGTTACAGACTTGTTCTTAGTCTTTCTAGTAAATCTAAATATTTAGAGATTGGACTGGAATATTGTTATGTGGATCAGATATTTATATAACAAACCACATGGGGTTTGTTCAGGAAACCCTGCCAACATTCAATCAAGCAAATTTTTGTAACCATAAGACTTACAAGCATGCCAGAGGAAAGGAGGGAGGGAAGGAGGGAGGGAGGGAAGAAGGAAGGAAGGAAGGAAGGAAAGAAGGAAGGAAGAGAGGAAAGAAGGAAGGAAGGGATGAATGAGATGAGATGAGATTAAAGACAATTTGATTTCTGCATCTCATATACTGTACATGCTGGGCTCAAATGGAATCGAACGATACCTGCATCCTTACTTAGAGCATTAAGAATAAGCAATACATTCTTATGAGAGAAGGGTGATTATAAACATGATAACAAGAAATACATTCATTTATGAGTAAGACATATGACCCTACAGGAAAGTGCTACATATTTCCTAGAATAACAATTCAACATTGCCTGTCTGGTGATCTACCGTATCATGTTTATATAATGTTTATCACCGGAATAGCCAAATAGTATACAAAATAAAAAGGTCTATATTTTGCTTTCCACCCTTAAGGGTTTTAGGGAATATACTTTGGGTCTGTGCTGTTTACTTGCTGGTTAGTCTTCAGAAATTGTATAATTTATCTAAAGACATGAATCAAACTATCCATTGAATCGAACTATCTTTATCTTTTTAAGCTGAATCGTTACTTCGCGAAGCTGGAGATACTTTTGATTCGTGGTAATAATAACATTTATGGCCACTAGATTCATAACATCATAAGAGCTTAATGTTGAATGTTTCTACTGCCTGGAAAAAGAATTATCTTGTATTTATTGACTCTGGAGAAGAAAGAGTCTAAAATACAGGAGATAATACAAACAATAAACAATACAACAAATTGTTGCTATTTATATGAGACAGAGACTGAGGTGCTGGATTAGAATTAAGGACAAGAATGTTCAAACCTATTTGTAATCACATCCATTTTAATAAAAATTAAAAATTTATTACATATGTGCGATTTCATTTTCTCCTTACTATGTAGGACAGGGGTGTCAAACTCAAGGTCCGGGGGCCGAATCCGGCCTACGGGGTGCTTAGATCTGGCCCGTGGGGCCACCCTGGAAACAGCGAAGGACGTGCCCACAGTGCCTCTGCCAGCGAAAAAAGCACTTGTGAGAGCCACAGGCAGCCCTCCTGATCCCCATTTTCACTGGCAGAAGGTTGCAGGAGGCTGTCGCAGCCGAAAACAGAGCTTGGAAGGGCCACAGGCAGCCCTCCCAAGCCCCATTTTCACTGGCAGAAGGTTGCAGGAGGCTGTCGCAGCTGAAAATGGAGTTTGGGAGCCCGTTTTCTCTGGCAGAGTGCTTGGGCCACTACAGGCTCCCCCAATAATACGAGTGACATCAAGTTGGCCATGCCCACTCCGCCCCCGCCCCCCCCGGAGGTCAAACACAACCCTGATGCAGCCCTCAATGAAATCGTGTTTGACACCTCTGATGTAGGATATTCAGATTCTTCAGTTCCACATGAAAGGAAGGTGTGGAAGTTGCCTATGCTGAAACAAAACCTAGGACCTTTGCTCCTCTGTGGAAAGCTAGCAGAGCATGAAAGCAGACAGAAAACAAATCAGTCTGTATAATTTCTCTGATTTTTATGTATCTGGTTTTTGTGCTGTAGCGTTCTGAAGAATCAACATTGGCCTTCTGCCACAGGTCAGAAAATGAACAAAAAAGTACAAAGACCCAAGTCTCTAATTTCCCAACAGTCTGACTTCCAAGTACCTCACGCAAGGAAGGGCACTTAGGGGCAGAACTGGGAAACTCCTCTTAGATGCTAAATTTGGATTTCCACTCAACATGCTCCCATGTCTGCAAAACTAAAAAATGGGGAACACGTGATCCTCAGGGATGGGCTGCTAGGGGTTCAGCTCTTGGGGGATCAGCAGGGTTTGGGCAATTCTATAGTTAAGGATCACCGGGGTTCGGCAAACCCCCAAATGCCACCCCTGGCTGGCCACACCCACCCCACCCCTCCCACGAGTCTCCATGTAGCCTGTTCATCATTCCAGGTAAATTCAGGGGCTGCGCGGAGGGTCTGGGAAGGCAAAAAACTGGTCCAGAAGCCCAGAAACAGGCCTGTTTCCGGCCTCCGGAGGGGCCCTGGAGCCTGGGGGAAGCAGTTTTCGCCCTCCTGGAGGCTTGAGGAAAGCCTCTGGAGCCTAGGGAGGGTGAAAAGTGCCCCCCCCGCCGCCATGGTGCGGGCAGCCAACTAGGCCATACCCACCTTGGCCATACCCTCCCAGCAATGGGGCAGCGAACCCATTGCTCTGAAGCCCACTCCTGGTGAACCTCCAGATATTGTTAGATATCAAATTCCTATCAATCTTGTCCATTGTGACCAGTGATCATTGATAGGATCAGCTGTAACGAAATACTGTATATCTGATAGGCTAGAGCAGTGTTTCTCAACCTGGCTGGGGAATTCTGGGAGTTGAAGTCCACACATCGTCCAGCGGCCAAGGTTGAGAAACACTGGGCTAGAGGCTCAGATATAAATTTAATTCATAAGTATGATGGATAGGTTGCTAGGATTCTAATGTCCGAATAGGGAGGTTGGCCTCTTGCCTTGTAGCAATTTTCCTTGTGGTTTGGTTTGGGCTAAACCCATCTTAACATCTGATGGTTTTTGTTCATGGAATTTTGTGACCTAAGGAACTGAAGAAAAAATAACCCAGACCACTTAATGTCTAATTAACAGGCATCTCCTTACCACTTAGACAAAACAGATTTAATCTGTTTGCTGTCTAGTACAGTGTAACCCATTTCTGTCCATGTCTCTTCTTCTCTGGTATTTTGACATTTTGTCTCTATGTACTTCAAGCCACATTTTCTCCCTTCATCTCCTTTTGAATAGGCAGGGGAGGCATGATTGAATGCAGCTACTACAAAAGGTTGCCCCCAAATATTCAGTTAGTCCTAATTAAAATACTGCCTGATCACTTATTTATTCTCCATATGGATCATCCTAGTTCACTGAGATTTATTTATATTCTGGTATCATGAAGTTTATATTCCCCCATGATACGATTTGTTCCAAAGAATCCACAAATCATTTCCATATCCGAAATAATATTTGACCAGGCTTGCAATAATTCACGAGCTAAATCTGGAAATGTTGAAAATCTAAAATTCTTTGGCTAACTCTTGTCTGACTTGCAATATTCTCAGATGTATATTCTTTTCATGAATGTGCCCTTTCTATTGTGGGGCTAGATTGGAGAAGCAAAACCAGAAGTGGGACAGGGCAGGAAATACCTCGAGCAATATAAGTTCTTAGGAAAGTCATTTCTTTGAAAGAAGAAAGCTAATGCAATGGCAGAACATCATATTCTGGAAATCACTGTCTGATAGCAAGTCCAATTTCTAAAACTTAGCCCTCTTTACAACTCAGTTTTAAAACCCTCATCCTAAATCTTGCTCTCTGTTTTTAACTTGTACTTATAACTTTTGAAGGGGTGGGCTTCAAAAATTTTAGCAAGGGGCTCTCTGCCCGATTGCTGGGTGAGCATGGCCATGGTGGGTGTGGCTTAGTTGGCCTTCTGCACCACGGGGGAGGGACATTTTTGCCCTCCCTGGGCTCCAGAGGCTTTCCTCAAGCCTTCAGGAGGGCGAACACGGCCTCCCCAGGCTCCAGAGCCCCTCTGGAGGCTGGAAAAGGGGCCTATTTCCAGCCTTCCCGAACTTCCGGTAGGCCCATTTTTCGCCCTCCCCGAGCCTCCCGCATGTGCCCTACACTTACCTGCATCCAAAACGGGCCAGGTGGGGACTCTTGGGAGAGGCTGGGTGGGGTAAGCAGGGCCAGCCAGGAGTGGGATTTGAGGGTTCTCTGAACTGCACAGAATCTTAGCTAGAGGTTCTGCCGAACCCCTGCAAACCCCTAGTAGTCCACCCCTGCTTGTACTGTAAGTCTGTAGTATAGATTGCAGGTATCAATAAAGGAAGAAAAGAAAAATACAAAAAGAAGAGGGGATATTTACCGGAAGGCCAGGTCTTCCTGTAGGACCCTGAAAAAAAAAACACAGGCAGAAAACAAAGGAGATGATGGCACAAAGAACAATGGATCTGAATAGTGAAACAATTATTGAGTTTGATTTCGGACTTCTAGAATGCCACAAAAGCCCCTGTTTGGTATTTGTTCATTGGCATTTCTAGTTGAGCATTTATAGGAAGCAAGGTTGCCAGGTTGGCTTAGCCAAGCTACTCCCAGTTACAGTAGAAAATGCTAGGCTAGTTTCATGGCTAATTTAATTCTGTACAGACAGCTTGATATATCCTAGTCAGCGGTGGGTTTCACATTATGTTACTACCGGTTCGTCCCGCGCGTGCACCCTTGCTTTGTGCGTGCGTGCCTGCCTTCCACATGTGCCCCCGGACTTCCGTGCATGCGCTTTGCTCTCTCTCGCACCTTCTGCGCATACGCCTAGCCTCAAAAACGTGCCTAAATAGGATGGCATAGAGATGGGGCAAGGGCGGGCCCACCTGTGATTTCCGCTACCGGTTTGGGCGAACCGATCCGAACCGGCTGAATACCCACCTCTGATCCTAGTGTTCATACTAGGGTTTAGGGAGGAGAAATGGCAGAACAAATATTTTGCTATGGCCGAAAGCCCATAACATGAAATAGCCTGCAAAAATAAAACATCCAGACTTCCAGTTGTCTCCCTTCCCACAAACCAGTATGTTATAATTCATTTTTATCCTGGGAGTAACTCACATTTGCATCAAATCATCGTATTGTTTAGGAAATACTACACTTCATTTAATATTTCCCCAGACAACCTGCAGCTGCCATCTACTAAATTACAGAGGGCAATAGAAGTCTTTATTTTATTTTATTTGAAAGCTACGTCTAATACAAAGGCAAAAGGTTGGAGGAAATGTGTTACTCCTAGAATCCAGCCGGACTAGACAAAGCCATGATTTAAAACTCGTGAATAAGTTTATTGACCAAGGAGTCATCTGATATATAGTCCAACATCCTAGCTTTCACTAAGTCTCTCTTCAATAGATACATCAATGTTTCCCTTCCTTCCGTTTCCATCCTATCTCACTGCTGCTATTTTTTCTTAGTCTAATGTCCTGTCGGTCTCCAACTGCCATTCATCCTAGATCTCCATCATGCTTGCTCTGCTGTCATTCTTTCTCCACTCATTCTTTTGTTTTGATGGGTTCATTCTCTGCTACATAATGTCAGCTCCCCACTAGGTGAACCAGACCAAGAAATCAAAACCACTGGAAGGCTAAAACTATTTTAATTGACTTTGCAAGTCTGATTGTGTTGTACGTCCTTTTGTTTCTTATATTCCGTGAATTAGGGAGGTCCCTGTCTAATCTAGGGATGTGGCGGCTCAGTGGCTAAGACACTGAGCTTGTCGATCGAAAAGTCGGCAGTTCAGTGGTTCGAGTCCCTAGTGCCGCGTAACGGGGTGAGCTCCCATTACTTGTCTCAGCTTCTGACAACCTAGCAGTTCGAAAGCATGTAAAAAATGCAAGTAGAAAAATAGGGACCACCTTTGGTGGGAAAGTAACAGCGTTCCGTGCGCCTTTGGCGTTTAGTCATGCCAGCCACATGACCACGGAGACTTCTTCTGACAGCGCTGGCTCTTCGGTTTTGAAATGGAGATGAACACTGCCCCCTAGAGTCAGGAACGACTAGCACACATGTGCGAAGGAAACCTTTTCCTTTACCTGTCTAATCTACTTTCAAACTAGGCTGTTCCTCTAGCAACTGGGTCTCCAAATAGATTCCCCAGCTTGAATAGCAGCTGGTCAGTGGTAAGAAGATAGATAGAAGATAGAATCATAGGGCTGGAAGGGACCTTGGAGGTCTTCTAGTCCAACCCCTTGCACAAGGAAGGAGACCTAAAGAAAAATCCTAATAAAAATAATAATAAAAAATAATTGCATTCAAAGTTGCATTCACTATTCCCAAGACCCTAGCAACCCAATTCTGAAAACTTGCAAAACCAAGAGAAAAACACCCCCAATTCAGATGTTCAGCAAGAACATTAAATATGAGGCACTTAAGAGGAAAGGTACCTGGTGAAAGGGGACAGCCTATCAACTCTCTTCCTGTGCTACTTACTGGATCAATTCTTCCAGTTCCTCTCAACTCTAGTTCTCGCTACATAGGCTTAGGACTTACTCTGAACATCATTATTTTGAAATAGCACTAAGCCTGCGACCCAAACCAGCCTGACTCGCAATTATTATCAGGTTCCCCTGAATGCACCTACACAAAACATTTCCACAAAACCAGAAATAGAGCAGACAATAACCATACCTGCCAGTCTAAGCCAGCTGTCCAACCTTGGATCTTTCCTAGCCAAGCAATTCTTTTGTTTCCCAGGTGGCTGATGATATTTGTGAGAGGGGAAGAAAATAAAGCCTGCAGCATCCACCATCATCTTTAATCATCATCATCTTTTAATGAGGGGTGGAGTCTGGGCAATTGAATGGAGCTAGCAGAGTGTTTAATGGCCGGATGCCCTTCCTGTCACCAATGCGGAGTTTTGTCTAGCAGATGTATTCTCATTGTGCCAAGAGAGAGAGAAATATCTGCCTCTACCTAGGATCGAACTCCATAGCCTCCTGATTGTGAGGTGAGAGCTCCGCCTCTAGGCCACTGCACCACTCCTAGCCCCCATCTTTAATGTACCCTGTAAATTAGGATAGCACCATTTGCCCATATGGTTTCTGCCAGAGGATACTAAATGCAGAAAATATATACTGCAGGCAAAAAGTTCCTGGCTCAACTTCCTAGCACCACTCTTTTTAAAAGAATATATCGAAGAACACAACTGGGAAAGAATTGAAGAAGTTCCTGTTAATGGGTGCCGATGGTTATGGAGTAGGGTAATCAAAAAGACCTTCTCAAACAAATAACATGAAATTAGAAAGGAGGAGAATGTCCTCCTTAGAAGCAGTACAGGTAGTCCTTGACTTACAACCAGAACTGAGCCCCAAATTTCTGTTGTTAAGTGAGTTTTGCTCCATTTTACCTTTCCCGCCATGATTGTTAAATGAATCACTGCAATTGTTAAGTTAGTAACACTATCAGCTTGCAAAGCTTTCAAGTTGCCATGAGCAGGAGGGAGGGAGAACTGATAGAGCTGATTGATTTCCCTAACTGCAGTTACATTCCATACATTCTTCCTAACCGCAATCAGAAGGATGGTGTTGGATTTCACAGCCGGCCAAAGTGGTTAATTGGAGAATGTGATTTATGACATGGCCAGGGAGGAGGAGAGAGACAGGGTCATAGGGGAACGTAAATCTACGGGGGATTAGTTCTAACTGCATCCGAATATTGCCGAAATGGTGCTCCTAATAAATGACTGTATTTCTTTTGAAGTTTGGCTCATGGCTCATGAATTAATTAGGGCATCTTTCGGAAACTTCACAAACACAGTTGTTCAATGAATCTGGCTTCCCCATTGACTTTGCTTGTCCAAAGGTCGCAAAAGGGAATCACAAGACCCTTGGATACTGCAAACCGTCATAAATACACGTCAGTTGCTAAGTAATTTTGATCACGTGTCCATGGAGATGCTGCTACGGTTGTTAAGTGTGAAAAACGGTCATAAGTCTGTTTTGTAACTCTGAATGGTCACTAAATGAATGGTTGTATGTCGAGGACGACCTGTATGCTTGATGGCAACATCTCCTGCCAGGTATGCATTTATAACTAGCATTAAGGAGCTGTACAAGTGGCTGAATGGGTAACCATGTTTAACAAGCTATCATGGTTAACAACAGAATATTTCATCCCAGTCCTATAATGCTCAATATCACTACAGTTTGACAGCACTAGTACTAGAGAAGCACAATATACTTAGGCAATAATGAAGTTGATATAGCAGATTCTCAAATGTTTGTTCTTTTGACCACACAAGTATAAAATGTTTGTTTCTGAACTCTCAGCGATGTTTTTAAACAATCCATCAGTCCTAGTTGACCTCAGAGAAGTCAAATGCTTCTTTACTTCCCATCATGGAATATGTTGCTATCCACTTGAAAAGGAAAGGACACATTTGTGAATCTAAATGGCAGTAAATGATTAATTTGGGAGGGGGGGGTTGCTTCCTGATTTAATAACTGTTCTCTCCCTTGCCCCAGGGCCCATTCACTTTACCAGCAGATGCGTTCTTCACAGCAGAGTCAAAAACTTTGGTACTTACGGGAGGTCCTGAAAGAAAAGAAAAACACGGACATGGTTGATATTCCAAATTCAATAACACCGTTGCTTTATGTAATAAAGTTTCCACAACATCTCAATCCATCTTCATTTATAACAATCCAGATTTACCCAACGTATTACAGAAAAATAGAACAGAACACATTTCAGTACAGCAGGATATATAATATATCTGAATTATGTGAAAAGGCAGAAAGACCAGGTTGTACTTCCTGAGCAGTCAATCTTACATATTTAAATTAGTGAGATACTTAAGCAATATTACCATATCCAAGCTGAGAAGGACTTTAACACTCACTCAGCTAATGCTCTTCCTTCAGCCATTTTGGAAGTCAGATACAAAGAAATTCCATATTATGTTCAATTATATTCATGTGCTAGAGCAGTGATGGCTAACCTTTTTGCCATCGCGTGCCAAAAGTGGGGGGAGCGGGGAGGGGTGTGTTGTGCGCGCACGCACCCACACCCATAATTATATGCACCCCGCCCCCACGCATGTGTGCGCCCCCCCCCCCCGCGCTCCCTCTGCTTTTGGCACACGATGGCACGGTGGGCCCAATAGGGCCATTTTTTTGCTCTCTCCAGGCTCCAGACCCACTCTAAGAGCCTGTGGCGGGGAAAACAGCCTCCCACCCCGAAGCCCTCCGGAGGCTGGAAATGGCCCTTTGCCAACTTCCGGTGTGACCAAAAGGCCTGTATTTTGCTCTAGAGCCTCTCTAGGAACCTGGAGAGGGTGAAAAGAGCCTTCCCCACCCCCCCAGAGGCTGCATGGTCCCGGTGGGATGGTTTTCTGTGCCATTTCCGGCACTCAGGCCAGCACGCAGTGACGTAAAAGGTTAGCCATCAGTGGTCTACATCATATCCGTGGTCATGTGGCCAGCATGGCTATATCCGAAAGGCACAAGGAATGATGATATGCTTCCCACTGAAGTGGTATCTATGTACCTACTTGCATTTGCATGCTTTTAAACTACTAGGTGGGCAGCTGGCTACATGACCACGGAAATTGGCTCCCTCGCCCAAGAAACGATGAGCACCATGCCCTAGAGTCAGAAATGGCGACAGGGAAACCTTTACCTTTACCTTTGTAACCTACATAATCAAAATTTGTTGTGGTCATAAAGAGTTTATAAGAAGGCAAAGGGGCCCTAAGATTAAAATGTTTGAGAAATCCTGCTCTACACCATCAACTTCAACTAGAGAGAAGATACATTCTAGAGTCCATTCATACAGTATTGGTATTTGTACCAGTAGTGGGTTTCAATTTAGTTTACTACCGGTTTGCGCTTGCGCGTTCTCCTGCGCATGCGACGCTTCTGCATATGCGCAGAAGTGGCCGGGCGGGTAGGCGGAGCCTCCCGCCGCTGGCGCTACTGGCTCATCTGATTTGGGGCAAACCAGTAGCAACCCACCACTGATTTGTACCACTCCTAGATCATTTCTTGCCATTAGGATCCCATACCATCATCTTTGTTGGGTGCTTGAGCTATGTTTTTATGGCTCATCTGTGATATATGGCTCCCGGTGGTCTTCCGAGTGCGCTTCAAGGTTCTGGTTATCACCTTTAAAGCGCTCCATGGCTTAGGACCTGGTTATCTACGGGACCCCCTGCTACCACCAATAGCCTCCCACCGGCCAGTACGCTCCCATAGAGAGGGGCTCCTCCGGGTGCCGTCGGCCAAACAATGTCGACTGGCGGCCCCTAGGGGGAGAGCCTTCTCTGTGGGGGCACCTACGATCTGGAACGAGCTCCCTCCGGAGATACGGAGGATCCCGGATCTGCGCACCTTCCGTCGCGCGCTTAAGACTTTCCTATTCCATCAAGCTGGCCTGGCCTAAATCTTCTCCCCTTTTTAAATGTAAATTTTTTAAATTTTTTAAATGTAAATTTTAATTTGTTTTAAATTATGGGGTATTTTAAATTCAGCCAAATTATTTAATTCGTTTTTAATTCATTTTAAATTTTTTGTATTTATGTGTTTTATCTCGTGGCTGTTCACCGCCCTGAGTCCTTCGGGAGAAGGGCGGTATAGAAATTTAATAAAATAAATGAATAAAATAAATATATTAGAGTCCACAGATGAGCCACGTTTTAGTAGAAGCCCTACAGCTCTGCAGAGCTTGCAGAAAAGTTATTTCCCTTTGATTTGATTTCTTACCTAAATTAACTTCCAGGTCCTAAGCTTTCTTTTCTCCCTCTAGAAGCTAAAAAAACCAAACCAAACCCAACCCAACCCAAGAAAGTCCAGTTGCCTTTTGGAAAAAGCTCCTTTGGGACTACCATGACTTGGATGATTGAGAATCTCCTATAGACATTAAGCCCCATAAACTTCACACCAACCTCTCACAGCTGCTTTTACACAGATCATGGGATAGTATTTTGGCAACTTTACAAATTTATTGTAAATACTTAGAATTTCCCAAGTTGAAAAAATACCACATACAAGCGTGTGATTGCTTGAAAAAAGTACGGTTGTGTTCTACCTTTTCAGATAGAATAGAATAGAATAGAATAGAATAGAATAGAATAGAATAGAATAGAATAGAATAGAATAGAATAGAATAGAATAGAATAGAATAGAATAGAATAGAATTTTTATTGGCCAAGTGTGATTGGACACACAAGGAATTTGTCTTTGGTGCATAGGCTCTCAGTGTACATAAAAGACAAGATATGTTCGTCAAGAATCATAAGGTACAACACTTAATGATAGTCATAGGTCAGTGGTGGGATTCAGCCAGTTCGCACCACTTCGAGAGAGCCGGTTGTTAACTTTCTGAGCAGTTTGGCAAACTGGTTGTTGGAAGAAATCATTAGGAGAGAGAACTGGTTGTTAAATTACTTGAATCCCACCACTGTCATAGGGTACAAATAAGCAATCAGGAAACAATATCAATATAAATATTAAGGGTGCATTGATGGACTCTTGGGGTGTTGTAAAGCATTTCAAAACTGGGAGCTATTTAAAATGCAGGCAGATTACTTGAAACAGTTCCTGAGGATTTGGAAAATGAAAATCCAAATCCTCAGGAACACAAGAGTGCACAAGAGGCCTATGAATACCCCCAATACTTTCCTGTACAGATATGCTGTGGCAATGTATTGTGCAAATAACAAGGAGGTCAATTGGGGGCAACTTTTAAGAGGGCACTGTTGATCTTGCCATCACAGTATCCCAGCTGAAAGGCTTCCAGATAACCTTAGGCTTCTTTGAGAGCTCTATCCTATCCTTAGTAAGAGAACAGCATTTACTAATATAATGTTTCTGTCGTGATAAAGATTGCTACTGGGGCTACCAACTTTTATGTCGACACAGTTTTCTGCTGGCTCAGTAACTAGTGAAAACATTTCAACTGGGTTAGGATGAAGAGTCCTGGAAGTTAAGCATGCCACCCAAGTGTGTTAACTGATATTGTACTCCACAAAATATGTGAAAACGAAACAAAACCAGACGACAATTCTTGCAGTAGCAATCTCAGTACATCTTGAGTATATAGCAAGGTACAGAATCAGAGGTGGTATTCAACCGGTTCGGACCGATTCGGACAAACTGGTAGTGGCGACCTGCTGGTGGCTGCCCACCCGCCTGGGCGCAATCCCGTCCTATATCGCTGTGTTTTTAATGCCACACACATGTGCGGATGGCATGCACGAGTGAATTGCCATGTTGTTTGATGTTGCACGCATGTGCGCACAGCACACGAGAGTGAATTATCGTGATTTATGATGCCGCACGCGTGTGCTCACATTTCCAGTGCTGGGCGAACCGGTTTACTACAGTATGCGAAGCCCACCTCTGTACAGAATGCTAGTTTAGAGGAAGCCTGCATTGGTGCCTTATAGGAACTGAACTGAACTGAACAATGATCAGTAGCACAACAATAACAGGGAGACATGGGCGGCACACAAGTCTTATAAACAAACAAGCAACCAAAATATTTAAATTTTTCTGCATTATATTTTCAGATGTAGCTCTGCACTTTTTACTATGGTGTAGACCTGAGAATGCAACTGGAGACATTTTTAGAATGTACTTCTGGTTCCTGTTTCACTTCTAAATTCCTTCCCTTCTCAGCATCAAATCCATTGACAATCCATTGTCCGGCTATTTAGTATGACAATGACATCATGCTGGAATTTTAGGCTGCCTTCCAAAACCTTATTTGCTCCTTACAGATTGCCCAACACTTTGGAAACTGATGTGACCAGCAAGGTATGCCTGAACTCCTTCATCATCTATTGCAGCAATACTAGCTATCCATCGGTAGCGGGCACACAATTTGTGGCGTACAATATCAGTTAACACACTTGGGTGGCATGCTTAACTTCCAGGACTCTTCATTCTAACCCAGTTGAAATGTTTTCACTAGTTACTGAGCCAGCAGAAAACTGTGTCGACATAAAAGTTGCTAGCCCCAGTAGCAATCTTTATCATGACAGAAACATTATATTAGTAAATGCTGTTCTCTTAGTAAGGATAAGGTTCCCATTGCAATAAGTAAGTAAAAGTAAGTAAAGGTTCCCATTGCAATAAGTGCTAGTCGTTCCTGACTCTAGGGGGCGGTGCTCATCTCTGTTTCAAAGTCAAAGAGCCAGCGCTGTCCAAAGATGTCTCCATGGTCATGTGGCCGGCATGACTAAATGCCAAAGGCGCACAGAACACTGTTACCTTCCCACCCAAGATGGTCCCTATTTTTCTACTTGCATTTTTTACGTGCTTTCGAACTGCTAGGTTGGCAGAAGTTGAGACAAGTAGCGGGAGCTCACTCTGTTACACAGCACTAGGGTTTCGAACAGCTGCGCTTATGATAGACAAGCACAGTGTCTTAGTCACTGAGCCACCGCATCAATTTTGTTAAAATTTAATTTTAATTTTAAAAGTTTAATTTTGTTAAAGTTTGGTAAATTCTCCCAACTTTGTTACTGTCCCCGCTTCACCTTCATCAGAAATCATGAGTCTGTGTCAAAATATCTGCCACACTTTCATCTT